CTCCCCAGTCCCAGGCAACTACTAAGATACTTTCTGTCTGTATAGATTTGCCTATTCTGGACATTTCATATAAATGGAATCATATAATATGTGGTCCTTTTGTGTCTGGCTTCGCTGACTTAACATAATACTTTCAAGATTAATCTCTGTCATAGCGTACATTGGTACTACATTTCTTTTTATTGCTGAATAATATTGTATGGGTGTATCCTACTTTATTATTCATTCATCAGTTAATACACATTTGGACTGTTTGAACTTTCTGGCTATTATGAATAATGCTGCCTTGACCATTACTGTACAAGTTTTTGGACATGTTTATATTTTTCTTAGGTACATACCTAGGAGTGAAATTTCTGGGTTATATGGTAAATAACTCTATGTCTAAACTTTTGAGGAACTGCCCGGCTGTTTTCCAAGGTGTCTGCACTATTTCACAATCCCACCAGCAGTGTATGAAGATTCCAGTTACTCTACATTTTCCCAGCACTTGTCATTATTTACCTTTTTAATGATAGCCATCCTAGTACGTGGGTTTTTTTTTTTTTTTCCAAAGATACCTCAGGCTAAGACGATGGTGGCTTGGACCAGATTAGTAACGGCAGAGGTGGTAGGAAAGAATTCAATTCTGGATATACTTCGCCAGCAGAGCTGGCAGGTCTTGCTGAAACTCTGATGAGGCTATGAGAGAGAGGAACTGGTACTGGGATCAAATATGAGATGGTGGGATATTTCTCAAAGTGTGAGAGGAATACTAGTGAGGAAACACAGATAATTTCATGTCAGACATTTAAATAACATTGAATCACAGCAAGTGAAAGTTACCCTGTGTAACTTTTCTTTAACTCCTCGTTGTACCATGGAGAGAGTCTCAGTTGGGTGTCAGTATCCCTTTAAGACCTCATCACCTATAAATCTTCCTTTGTAACAGACAGAAAAGGGTTTGGAGTCAGAAACATGGGCCTCTTGCTGAGCCAGGCAATATCGTTTTATTTTTATTTTGTTTATTCTTATAATTACTTTTGGCTTAAGGAGAGTGATTTTTGGTTTTGGTTTTGGTTTTGTTGCTTTGTTGTTGTTGTTGTTGTTGTTGTTGTTGCTTTGAGACAGGGTCTCATTCTGTTACCCAGGCTAGAGTGCAGTTGCGTGATCATGGCTCACTGCAGCCTTGACTTCCCTGGCTTAAGCAATCCTCCCACTTCAGCATCCTGAGTAGCTGGAACTACAGGCACACACCACCATACCTGGCTAATTTTTTAATTTTTTGTAGAGATAGGGCCTTGCTATGTTGCCCAGGTTGGTCTCGAACTCCTGGGCTCAAGCGACCCTCCTGCCTTGGCCTCTCAAAATGTTGTGATTATAGGCATGAGCCACCACACCTGTCTGAGATTTTTGTTTTTTATTAAAGCCTATGACTTTTTAAAAAAGCTCTCTGTTTAATTTAAATCTATTTAAGTTTACAATGTAAAGCAACTCAAAGGAAAATGCCAAGTAACTTGGAGTGCGGGGAGTACATGGCAATGGCAAAATTCCGAAAATTTGAGGCCAAAATCTGAAATTTGGGAGACCACGAGATAGCAAGAGAAAATCCCAGGAAGAGGTGTGGCACTCACTTCCTATCCAGATCATGCTGATGCCGTCCCTATAAACCCTGAGGGCAAGTTATTTCCCAATGGACCCATTCCAAGCTATGATGAAACTGTCTTCCATGACCTTTCAGGTTGGGACTTGATCCTGAGCCAGCCCAATAACCGGCTTCATCAAAGGCTCCAGACAACATTGTATGGAGGGACAAAGGCCCTACAGAGAACACTTTGGACCTTCAAGGTCTGGGTATGGGAGTACTCTAAACCGGAAAAGCTGTTTCTAGAGAACTGGACTCATTGACATCAAAGGAACTCTGGTCCATGCCCCAAAGTCTAAGTAGAGGCAGCTGAGACCAGGGCATATTTTACTGGTGGGCCTGGGTTGGGTTCTTTGTTCCAGAACCAGCTAAGATAGTAAGAGTACAATATTTGGCATTAGAGCAGAGGTTTCAATCTGGTGGCTCAAATGTAGTCATTATCATAACAATATTAATATTAGTGAGCACATATACTCCACTTATTATTTGCCAGGCTCCGTTTTCAGTACTTTACCTGTCTTAACTCATTCCATCCTTATAAAATCCATCTGCATTACCTATGTGAGTCTGTCACCCCTGCATCAGACAAAGCTACATTCAAATTCTGGCTGGGCCACTTGCTTGTTGCTGGGCAGGAGGTTTCACCCAAACTGAGTTTCCTCATCTGAAACGAGAACTATAATGTGCACAGGCATATCTCGTCTCATTGTGTTTTACAGATATTGCATTTTTGTGACAACCATACAGTGAGCAATTCTCCTGGCATCATTTTTCCAACAGCATGTGCTCACTTCATGTTTCTAGGTCACATTTTGGTAATCCTTGCACAATTTCAAACTTTTTTTTTTTTAATCATATCTGTTATGGTAATCTGTGATCAGTGATCTTTGAAGTTACTATTATAATTGTTTTGAGGTGCCATGAACTGTGCCCATATAAGATGGCAAACTTAGTGGATAAATGTTGTGTGTGTTCTGCTTGCTCCACCGACTGGCTGTTCCCCAATCTCTCTCCCTCTCCTTAAGCCTCCCTATTCTCTGAGATACAATACTATTGAAATTAGTCCAACTAATAATCCTTCAATGGCCTCAAAGTATTCAAATGAAAGAAAGAGTCATATGTCTCTCACTTTAAAATCAAAAGCTAGAAATGATTACGCTTAGTGAGGAAGGCACGTCAAAAGTCAACGCAGGCCAAAAACTAGGCCTCTTGTGCCAAACAGTCAACTTGTGAGTGTAAAGGAAAAGTTCTGGAAGGAAATTAAAAGTGCTACTCCAGTGAACACATGGATGGTAAGAAAGCAAAACAGCCTTATTGTTGATATGGAGAAAGTTTTAGTAGTCTAACATAGAAGATTAAACCAGCCACAACATTCCCAAGCCAAAGCCTAATCCAGAGAAAGACCCTAACTCTCTTTAATTCTATGAAGACTGAGGGAGGTGAGGAAGCTGCAGAAGAAAAGTTTGAAGTTAGCTGAGTTCACGAGGTTTAAGGAAAGAAGCCATCTGCATAATATAAAAGTGCGAAGTGAAAGAGCAAGTGATGAAGTAGAAGCTACACCAAGTTAACCAGAAGATCAAGCTAAGGTCACTGATGAAGATGACTACACTGAACAACAGATTTTCAACATAGATGAAATATTCTTCTATTGGAAGAAGATGCCATCTAGGACTTTTATAGCCAGAGAGAAGTCAATGCCTGGCTTCAAAGCTTCAAAGGACAAGTTGACTCTCTGGTTAGGGCCTAATGCAGCTGGTAACTCTAAGCTGAAGATTTGTTCATTTACCATTCTGAAAATCTTAAGGCCCATAAGAATTATGCTAAATCTATGCTGCTTACGCTCTATAAATGGAGCAACAAAGTCTAGATGAGAGTACATCTGTTTACAGCATGTTTTACTGAATATTTTAAGCCTACTGTTGAGATATACTGTTCAGTAGACTGTGGAAGGGAATTCTTAAAGACCTTCCACAGTCAATGAATGGCTTGACCAACATTAATTTTAATTTTAATTCCTTACTAGGTATGTCCATTGGACAGATAAGGAAACTGAGACTCAGAGGAATTAAGACATTCGTCCCAGGTCACACAGCTGGTGCATGATAGAGCTGAAATTCCAATGATACACACTGCTATTCCCATATCCCCACACAAATATTGAGCTCTTTTTCTTGTTGGAGTCATCAGAAGATCAAGAGGTTATTATGTGTGTTGAGTGAAGGAATATAACACATGGCCTGAAATACAGAGACACACTTCAGCTAAAGGAGAAATCTTGTGTTCCACCCCCCTCCCGCGACCCCCTGCCTCACTTAACTTCCTTTTAAAGATTGTCAGAGATAGGTCAAGCCCTTTAATCAAGGCATCCTATACCATTAATTGAGCACTTACTATGCCCCAGACACTATGCTCAGTGCTTCCTCAGCTTTTCTCATTTTATTTTTACAACCACCCTTCCAGATGGGTGTGATTACCTTCATTACAGAGGAAGAGACTAAAACTCAGAGATGTGTCTTCTGACTCCAAAGTCTGTGTTGCTAACCCTCAACTAGACTGTTCCCAAGCCTGCCATCGTGCCCACCTTAGGGCAAAGTTAGAAAAACCTCAGGTTGATGGGAGTTATTGGCAAGATATCACATAAGCTGGGTGGGTCTGACCACTGGCAACCAAGGCAAATTAGAGAATGTGACTCAAGGTACTCACAATTTTATTGTACTACCATTTGTATAAATAATAAATACCATTTTTGAGGGACAATGCCTACAATTTATAAAATTGTTTTCTAAGCACTATGCTAAGAACATTATACAGATATTTCCTGATTGTTGATGTTTAGACTTAGAATTTTTCAACTTTACAATGGATTTACTGAGAGTATTAAGTGCCTTTTTTTTTTTTTTTTTTTTTTGGAGACAGAGTCTCGCTCTGTCGCCCAGGCTGGAGTGCAGTGGCCGGATCTCAGCTCACTGCAAGCTCTGCCTCCCGGGTTTATGCCATTCTCCTGCCTCAGCCTCCCAAGTAGCTGGGACTACAGGCGCCTGCCACCTCGCCCAGCTAGTTTTTTGTATTTTTTAGTAGAGACGGGGTTTCACCGTGTTAGCCAGGATGGTCTCGATCTCCTGACCTCGTGATCCGCCCGACTCGGCCTCCCAAAGTGCTGGGATTACAGGCTTGAGCCACCACGCCCGGCCTAAGTGCCTTTTTAACTTAAGATATTTTCAACTTACAATGGGTTTATTGAGGGGTAACACCATTGTAAGTTAAGAAGTATCTGTATAGAAATACATACAAAACTTCATACTGCCCAGTGTGTAAAGAAATAAAAAAAATACATGCATACTTAACAATGCAGATGGATAAATAAAAAATTGGTTACCTTGCTTGTCTCCTAGAAGGTGCACTGGGAGGCTTGGGAGGCTGGTAGAGCAGGGATCACTCATATGCAGCTTCCTTTGGACCTTAGTGCCACTTCCCTGGAATACATGACCACCTTTAAAAACAATTCTCAGGCTTCCCTACAGTTGGTGTATCTATATGATTAAGATCTGGCCAATGGGAAGTTAGTAGAAGTTGTTATGTGGGACATTTAGGACCGTGTCTTTAAAGCAGCATACCCTTTTTCCTTTCCTCTCCCTTCTTCCTTCCTGACTCATGGTTTGAGCTCCAGCAACCATCATTGATCAGGAAGTGTAAGGGATATGTTATACTGGTGGCCCCCACAGACCCGTACCTCCTGGTATTCACACCATTGTGTAATACCCTCCCACAGTGACTCTGGGCTTGGCTGCGTAACTTGCTTTGGCCAATGGGACATCAGAAAATGTGATGCAAACAAAGGCTTAACTACCACTTGCACATTAGGGCTTGTCTTCTTTAAACATTCCCTCTTGGCAGCCAATGTCACACCATAAAGAAGCATGGACTAGACTACTAAATGATGAAAGACTCCACAGAAAGGGGCCCTGAAAGACAGGAAGCTATTTTGGATGTCTCAGCCCCAGCAGAGCTCCCACTAAATGCAGCCCCCTAAGTGATCTCAGCTGCACCATGTGGAGCAGAAGAACCACCCAACTGAGCCCAGTCAATCATGGAATTATGAGAAATAACAAGATAATGTTGTTGCAAGTTGTGAGGTGATTTAATACAGAAATCAACATGAACTGACCTTGAGAATGAAAGGTACACACTAACTATGCAAAAGCAGAAAGATGGGAGTTGGGATCCTTCATGAATTCATGGAACCACCTCTGCACTTTGTTTACAAGGCAGTAGAAAACCTAGTATGTTGAGCCTTATGTGTCTATGTTTTCAGTTGTGTGTGACTGAAGTTGTTATGTTGGGGACATGAGCAAGCGGAAGACTTGTTTGTACATCATACTCTGTTATGAGTGTTGGAATGCACTGCCCCGTGCCCCTTTAGGAATAAAAAACTCCATCTGCTGGGAATGCTTCCAGTAGTCAATTCTTGGCTATGATCCCATTTGATAATTGCCTCAGCAAACAGTGCCACATTAGCCAAGGTCATGTTTCCTTCCCAGAATGGCTGACATCCAGTTACTGACTGAAGCAGGAATACAAGTGTCCAGCCTCCTCACCCCAACTTGAGACAACTTTGAGGGCCATCCCCCTTCAGAGCACTCATGCAATTGGTCAAGGCCTCTGTCTAGGTTGCATTTCAGCTCAACATCTCCCTTCACCCTGCAGTTGCTCCTCCCCTCCCCTCCCCTCCCCTCCCCTTCCCTTCCCTGGATGTGGATCCCAAAGGCATGCCCTAATACATTTCCTGCACACTAGTCTCCAAATCCTGGAAAACCCAACCTACAACACAGTGTTTCTCAACCATTTGAATGTTATAGTATATGTCTGTACTGCTCATTAAAAAAAAAAAGAAGGTATATAAGACAGAGTTCATATGTAGAACCAAATCACAGTGTGGGTTCTCTAGGAAACACGGGGTTAGGAGTGCGTAAGATTTATTGGGAATAACACCTGTGAAAAGGAAAAGGAACAGGGAGAAGCAGGATTGGGCAGAGGGAGCCACCAGGCAGCATTCAGGCACAAAAAAGTCTCGCCATCACAATGGAGAGCCCCGAGCAAAGCTCATCCACTGGAGGAGTCTTGCACCAGGTGGGTAGATACTTGTACCCTCATCTTGCTCAACCAGCCTCTGAGATGAGGGCCTCCCTGAGAAGAGCATTACTTCGACTTGAAAACCAAGGCAGTCCCCAAAGGAGCTAATAATGGCTGGGCAGCAAGTCCCAGTTTGAAGGGGAATCCAAGCTGCATATGTCTATGACTCCCACTAGCTAGAGGGGCTTTTCCATAGTCATCCAATCTGATACACCTGTCCCACTCAACAGGTCAACAAATAGGGTCACAGTGTCTGTTCCAATACCACCCAGAGCATCAGGGTCTGAATTATGGCCAGTTCCCAGTCCAGGGGTCCTTCCACTAGACTTCAAGCTAACTCATGTAAAGAGAAGGAAAGTGTGGCTTTGAACTTCCAGTAGGCAGAGGCCATGCCTGCTCAGACATGTCAGCTGTCTCTCCACTGCCTGGCACATGGGTGGGAAAGAAATATGAGTTGGGTTGAATTGAATTGATGTGCAAATCCCAACATTTGGTAATCTCTCACCAGAAGGCTGGGCTGTCAGCATTCCTGGTGTTCCTCGTGCTGCACCAACCAGTAGTCATTCATACCCAAGCTCTGCTGAGCCCATGGTAACAGGAGTATGTATTTTGGAATCACCTATTCATTTATTCATTCAGCAAACATTTACTGAATTCAAACCTGTACCAGACACTGTGCTGGACACTGGGGATCTGACATGAAATGAGGCAGGCAGCATCCTTCCTTCATGCAGTTCAAACGCCAGTCCATATGTGGTTATAAAACATAGCCACAAATCCTGTGACACCCTTTCCACTGGGAGGCAGTGTCTATGCCCCTTCCTGATGAACCTAGGTGAGCTTCTGACTGCTTTGACCAACAGCTTACCGTGGAAGTGACCCGATATGGCTTCCAGGGCATTAATAAGGCCACACAGCTTCTGCCTGATTTCTAGAACACTTGTCCTTGGAGACCTGGACTACTGCCCTGAGGCTGCCACGCTGGAGAGGCCATGAGTATCTGCTCTGGTTGACAGCTGAGCCCAGACTTCCAGCCAGCCCCATCAAGGCACAAGACACACGAGTGAAGCTGTCTTAGGCCCTCCAGATGAGCTCATCTGATGGCTGAGTGACCCTGCGTGACATTCCTCAATGCCATGGAGAACAGAAGAATCACCCAGCTGAGCCCCACTCTAATTCTTGCCCCACAAAATCATGATATATTACTGTATGATTATTGTTTAAGTTTGGGGGGTAGTTTGTCAAGCAGATGTTTAACACTGAAACTGTGTACCTGGTGGGCTCATATCACCCCTCTGAGCCTCCATGGCCTCATGGAAAATGTAGATAATGGAAACAACTACATCATAGGTTTATGATAAGGCTCAAAGAATGAAAAGCCAGGCACTGTTAAGTGCTTTTCCTGTTTATTCGTTTAGCACAGGACCAGGTACCTATCAACCCCTAATTACAGGAAAGTATGATTTCTACTTGGGAAATAACACGCTATGTGAGGTATGAATAAATATATTAACTATGGTCATCAGCCCAGTTATGGAAGCTTGCTGTGTGCCAAGCACAGTACTAGGCATTTACATGAACGATCAGGTCCTGTCTGGTCCTTCAGCCCTCCCTCCCTTCCCTTCCATTGCTGGGGACTGTCCTCTTTGCAGTCTTCTTTCTGCTTCTTGAGCATAGCAAGTTCTCTACTTTTACAAATGCTCAGTCTGCCTGAATCTCCCTGTGCACCCTTCCCAAGCTCCTGCCACCATCACCATGACTGGTTCCTTCTACTCACTCAGTCCTCAGCTCAAATGTCACCTCCTCAGAGGGTCCCCACCCCTGACCTCCTGATCTAATGAAACGCAGCCTTCCTCAAGTCCACGTCACTCACCCTGTACAAACTCCCCGAGTTACTCCTTCATAGCATGATTCGTCGTCTGAAAGTGTTTACCACTAGGTTAAACTCCAGGGGAACGAGGGAGTCCCAGTCGCCCCCTGCCACTCTCTCAGTGCCTGTAACATGGAGAGAAGCAATAAATATCAGGATGAAACACATTCTACATCATTGGGTTTTATTGTTAGGAATATCAGTAAAAATCATGACTATTGTTCCTTCAACAAGGATTAATTGAGCACCTATTGTGTACTAGGCATCATTCTGGGTGCTGGGGATACAACAGTAATCAAATCAGACACCAGTTTTGTTCTCACAGAGTTTTCATTTTAGTAGCTCTGTGGTAAGATACATGTGTGAAATACACAGCATGTCACGTGGAATTTAGTGCTATGAAGAAAAATAAGGTAGGCAGTGGGAGAGAGTATGAGGGGAATCTTGGCACCAAATTCCATTCTTCCCTCCACAGAAGGGACTTTCGGTTCCCCTCCGCTCCACCTCCGCACCCTGACCCCCATACCCCGTCAACATCTCTCAGTGTGACATTTTGTTTGAGGTCTCTGCAGCTCCAAGAACAATATTGGCTTTGATGCAGGTCCCAGCAGAGAGCCCTCAGACTGGAGTGGGGTTTAGTTCCCCCTTCTTTCCCCTGGAGGGGGAAGTCAAGCAGTTTGGCCTTGTGGGGCCTTTCCTCACTATGGGGAAGGAGGCAGGCCTGGGCCTTCCTGGCCTGGAACGTTGACTAACCCTGGGTTCTGGGCCATCCCCTGGCCTCCTCCATCCCGGGCAAAGAGTTAAGGTTTACAAACACGGAGAGGCCTTTGATCGGCAGCAGACCCCCAGTGTTCTGTTTTTTGTTCCAAACCTCAGGCCAGGACCATACTCTGTTTTGCCTCCAGCAGGGGAGACAGTGGGTAGGCAGGGAGCGTGTGCGCACGAGTGTGTGTGTGTGTGTGGGGGGGGGGGGAAGTGGGAGGAATCAGAGGAAGGCTCACATGGATCCTTGATTTTCTTTCCAACAAGCAGCTAGGTTTGGAAGAGAGAATTCAATTCAATTCAAAATACCTAAGGAGCACCTACTAAATCCCAGGCACCATGGTAGAAACTAGGGCTAGAGCAGTGAACCAAACAGAGCTCCCTGCCCAGAGCCCAGGTTCTAGAGGGGGCCATAGACAGCAAACGAATGAGCAAGTGAATACAGAGGCTATCGGGGGCCATGATGCGCTGGAGAGGAACAAAGCTGGGCAATCGATGGGGGTGGGGTGCAGGTGCTGTGGGGGCTTCCCAGACAAAGTGGCATTTGGTAGAGACCTGAAGGAAATGAGGGAGGCAGCCATGTGGCGATCAGTGGGAAAAGTGTTTCAGAGAAAGGGAATAGCAGCTGTGAGGGCCCTAAGATGTGCGCAAGGCTGGCATGTTGGAAGTACAGCAAGGAGCCCAGTGTGGCTGACCCAGGGGAGTAGCGGGGAGAGGAACAGCAGAGGGGTCAGAATGGGGAGTGCTGGGGTTAGTGGGGGCAAAGTGGAGTGGTTTTCCTTTTTCTTCTTTTTTTTTTGGAGACAGAGTCTCACTCTGTCACCCAGGCTGCAGTGCAGTGGCGCGATCTCGTCTTACTGCAACCTCCACCTCCCAGGTTCAAGCAATTCTCCTGCCTCAACCTCCCAAGTAGCTGGGACTACAGGCACATGTTGCCATGCCCAGCTGATTTTTTTTTTTTTCTTTTTTAGTAGAGACAAGGTTTCACCATGTTGCCCAGGCTGGTCTCGAACTCCTGAGTTCAGGCAATCCGCCCACCTCAGCATCCCAAAGCATTAGGATTACAGGCATGAGCCACCGCACCCGGCGAGGCCGTTGACCCCCACCTTTTTGGTTTGTTTTTAACTAAAACTAAACTGGCCATCATCAGGCTGGAGTGCCCCCCCCCCCCCCTTTTTTTTTTAAGTTTGTTTTTAACTAAAACTAAACTGTGTCATCCAGGCTGGAGTACAGTGGTGCAATCACAGCTCACTGCAGCCTTGAACTCCAAGCCATCCTTCCCACCTCAGCCTCCCTAGTTGCTGGGACTACGGGCATGTACCACCTTGCCTGGCAGATCTGAACTGAGATTTAATAGAATTCCTGGGCTACGTGGAAACAGTGGGGATGAGGGCAGAAGGGGGGAGAACCATGAAGGGCAACTGCAGGGATTCAGGCAAAATATAGCATGGCCTATGCCAGGGTGGCCAGGAGGGGGAACAGAGAGTAGTTCCAAATTCATCATTTTTTTTTTTTTTTTTTTTTTCTGAGACAGTCTCACCCTGTCCAGGCTGAAGGGCAGTGGCGATCTCGGCTCACTGCAACCTCCACCTCCTGGGTTCAAGCGATTCTCCTGTCTCAGTCTCCCGAGTAGCTGGGATTACAGGCACCCACCACCATGCCCGGCTAATTTTTGTGTTTTTAGTAGAGACGGGGTTTCGCCATGTTGGCCAGACTGGTCTTGAACTCCTGACCTCAGGTGATCCGTCCACCTCAGCCTTCCAAAGTGCTGGGATTACAGGCAGGTGCCACCGCACCTGGCCTCATTAGCTTTTTACTGAAGTACAACATAAATACTGAAAATTACACATATAAACATGCCTGCAGTTTCATGAAGTTTTACAAACTCAATCCACCCACATAACCAGCATCAAGCTCAAGAAATAGAACTTGTCCATCCCCCCTAGAAGCCCCAGAGGCCCCCTCCAAATCACTGTCCCTCCCCCAAAGGCAGCCACTCTCCTAACTTTGTAATTATATTTTGAAAGTAAAGCTGGCAGGATCTGCTGCTGGATTGAATGGGGGCAAGGGGAGCTGGTGAAAGATGGGAGTCAAAGAGAGACCGCAGGTTTGGGGTGAAGTTCTGGATTCCTGGGGCTGCCATTTCCTAAGATGGCAAGTTTATGATGGGGGCAGAGACCATGGGTGAAACCAGGGGTTTGTTTTGGGACCTGTTGAGTTTTGCGAGGCCTGTGAGGCCCTGGGGAAGATACACGCCATCTTATCTAAAGGTTGCAAACTCAAATGCTCTCAGGGACAAGTAACAAGAGCAGTAAGACATATCTAACTCTCCTCTTACCTCTGTAAGGAGAACAATGGGACCAGTGTGATGATAAACAGTGACTCAGAGCCAAAGAGCAATAGGGAGCAGTGGAGACCGGGGCAAACTGGAAAGTACAGCCCCCTCTAAAAGAAGATGTGTTAGAACAGGGGCCCCGCATGGCAAGATCTCCTGAAAATGTTTCCAGAGAAGCCAGATGTCTGGATTTTTACAAATGAAACCATCCATATGTGTTTGAAATTGTTTAACACTGGCATATGAAGTTGTTTAACATTGGCAACTAAAAAGCAAACATTATGTGAACCCAAGAAAACTGGCTAGAGTTACAGCAACCCACTGGATCTAGATCAAATCTTCCACTTTACAGGTAGAGAAACTGAGGCCCAGGGAAGTCTAGAATTTTCCCCAAACTCACAGAGAGAGTTGGTGGCAGACTTTGGCCAGGGCTTGAGTAGGCTGCGTCTCAGTGCAGAGTTCTCACCTCCCAGGCCTTGGTAAGAAGGGGTTGGAGTTTGTCTGTCTCCTTGACTTTGATCTAAACAGAGAGGCCCCAACCTGACGGTGAAAGGCAGTAAGATGCTATGAACAAGTATGGCTTTGAGGACCTGGGGTCTGAATCTGTGTTGGTTAGGAATGCTTTTGGCTTCAAGTGATGGAAAATCTGATTTACAGTAGCTTCAGCTTTGGAGATGTTTGCCTGTGCATATAAGTCCAGAAAGCAAGGTCTGAGTCACTAAGAACAGACTCACACTCTGCCCATCCCTCCACCTCATCATCCATCTTCCTCTCATTGACTCTTTACCATCAGGGGTGGCCTCATGGTCTCCAGATGGCTGCTAAACCTCTGGTTATTGTCATTGCATTGAAAAACGGAAATTGTTGATGGGGATGTGCTGGTGTCCGAGCAGGGAGAGAATTCTTACATCTCCTCACCTTCTAGAAGCAAAATCTTCCACAGAAGGAATCTTCGCAGATTTGCTCTTGTATCTTATTGGCCACAAAACGGTCACATGCTGATATGGTTTGGAGGTTTGTCCCCTCCAAATCTCAGGTTGAAATGTGACCTCCAGTGTAGGAGGTGGGGCAGGTGGGAGGTACTGGATCATGGGGGCAGATTCCTCGTGAATGGCTTGCTGCCCTCTCTGTGGTAATCTCTGAGTAAGCCCTGGCTCTGTTAGTTCACAAGAGAGCTGTTTGTTTAAAGGAGCCTGCCTCCTCCCCTTCTGTCTTGTTCCTGCTCCCACCATGTGACACTGCCTGCTCCCCCTTTGCCTTCCATGATGGGAAGCTTCCTGAGGCCCTTACCAGAAGTAGATGCTGGAGCCATGCTTGTACAGCCTGCAGAACCATGAGCCAATGAAGCCTCTTTTTTGTACAAATTACCCAGCCTCAGGTGTTTCTTTACAGCAATGCAAAAGGCCTAATACACAGGCCCATTCCTAATCAGGGACCAATGTGACCTTTCCTGAGGTGAAGTTATCTTCACCTAAAAATATCTATATAAATTGGGGTTCTGTCCAAAAGGAATAAGGAGGGTAGGCTGGGCGCCATGGCTCATGCCTAAAATCCCAGCACTCTGGGAGTCCAAAGCAGGCAGATCACTTGAGGTCAGGAGTTTGAGACTAGCCTGGCCAACATGTCAAAATCCTGTCTCTACTAAAAAATACAAAAATTGAGACGATCCTGGCTAACACAGTGAAACCCTGTCTCTACTAAAAGTACAAAAATTAGCCGGGCATGGTGGCAGGCGCTTGTAGTCCCAGCTACTTGAAAGGCTAAGGCAGGAGAATGGCGTGAACCTGGGAGGTGAAGTTTGCAGTGAGCCGAGATCGCGCCACTGCACTCCAGCCTGGGCGACAGAATGAGACTCCATTTCAAAAAAAAAAAAAAGAGGGGATGGGCTCACGCCTGTAATTCCACATTTTGGGAGGCCAAGGCAGGTGGATCATTTGAGGTCAGGAGTTCAAGACCAGCTTGGCCAACATGGTGATATCCCCGTCTCTACTAAAAATACAAAAGTTAGCCAGGTGTAGTGGTGGGCACCTGTAATCCCAGCTACTGGGGAGGCTGAGGTGGGAGAATCGCTTGAACCTGGGAGGTGGAGGTTGCGGTGAGCTGAGATCGTACCACTATACTCCAGCCTGAATGACAGAGCAAGACTCTGTCTTTAAAAAAAGAGGGTGACTTTTGGTAGGCAATAATGCTGTAAAATGGGTATGGCAGATGGTATTTTGTTTCTTGCCCTCTCAACATCCATTTCCTATTTTTCTGATGACATACTTTGATTTTCCTTCAGGTAGGCGTTCTCAGAACAGCAGCCTCAGCATCACCTGGGAGCTTGTTAGCAATGCAGATTCTCAGGCCAATCTCACACCTTTGATTCAGAAGCTTTGGAATGGCAGCCTGGCAATGTGGGAAAGTGCACCTGTCTACCCTTAGCTTATAAGGGGAACAAATGGAGCTGTATTATAATCACCTGTTTGCTGCTCTCTAAAAAATAGTAGCCACCTAAATGACATCATAACGGTATTGCTCATTGTCGCCATGTGCCATGCACTGTGGTAGTGCTCCAAGTGCTCCACGCACCTCCTTATATGGCTGCTTGTGGTGGACATGGATGTGCGAACCCGATGCCTTAAGGAAGGACTGATTGCCCCAGAGGCAGGGCGAGTGGTCAGCAGTCAGCTCCTGTGGTCAGCTCCTCCAGGGATCGCCTCACAGTAGGCAGAGAGTGGCCTTGCCTGAGCTCATGTCCCTTCCAGGGGTGACCCCCCCAGTGACTAATGTGAGACTGCAAAGTCCTGGCCATCTCAGGCCATCTTGTGACATCTCTGAAGAGCCATTTCAGCTGCAGAGCTCCCACAGGGTTGCCGAAGCTGCTGCTGGGTCTCAGCTCCAGTTCTCCCTCTGCCCTCTCCTGTGTGCTCCGTGCTGTGGATGTTGATCCCAAGGGCAGCTCAATCACGTCTCAGAGTCTGCTTCCTAGGGATCCTGACCAGTGACAATACTCACCGCAACTCCACCATGCAGCACCATTGTGAGTCCATTTTGCAGATGAGGACACTGAGGCTCAGAGAGGTACAAGGAGGGGATCCCAGGCCATGCACCTGGTAAACAAGGAGACATGGGCTGGGAAGCCAGCATATTTGTGAATAGAGAAGTGGCATGTTCTGGCTTTAAAAGGGTCCCCTGGGCTGCTGAGTGAGGGAGAACAGAAGGGGCCAGGACAGAGGCAAGGGTGCCCCAGGCTGTAGCTGGACCTTGTCATCCCTGCAGCTTCTTCAGAAGAGCCAGACACAGCCCATGTGCTCACTAAATACCCAGTGAAGAAGTGAGTGAAGAGAGAATGGATGAAAACGTTAAGACCGGAAGGAACCAGACATCCTCACGTCTGTCTCGCTCATTACATGGTGCATAATTAGCACAGTGCCTGCCACACATAGGTGCTCAGCTAAGGTGGTGTTGAGTGAATAAATGAACATGTTCAAGGAAGGGAGAGAGGGGAGGAAAGGAGGCAGGGACTTGGGAAGAAAAGATGGAAGTAGACGAAGGAAAAGGGGAGAAAAGAAGGGGAAGAAGAAAGAGGGGAAGGAGGGAGGAGGAAGAGAAGAGAGAAAGTGAAGGGAGGTTTCTTTACCTGTTCGCACCGAGAATGACAGTAACTTACGACCCCTGGTGGCAGAAAAGTGCAGTCCATTGAAATTGCGGTGCCTAGAATTAAAGAAAAGGGAAGACTCCTAGTTCTCCAAGAGGTTCAGGCTGCATTCGTTTGTTTTCTATTGCTTTTAACAGAATACTTGAAACTGGGTAATTTATAAAGAAAAGGAGTTTACTCCTTACTGTTATGGAAAAATACAAGGTCAAGGGGGCACATGTGGTGGTGGCACAGCCTTCTTGAAGGTGGGGACTCTACAGAGACCTTAGGTGGCACATGGCATCATATGATGAGGGTGCTGGGCATGTTAGCTCAGGTCTCTATTCCTCTTACAAAGCCCCCAGTCCCGCTCTCATAATAACCCATTATGTATTAATCCACACGTGGATTAATCCATTCATGAGGGGAGAGGCCTCAGGATCCAATCACCTCTTAAAAACCCCATCTTTCAATACTGCTAAGTTGGGCAGTTTCCAGCACATGAGATTTGGGGAACACATTCAAACCATAGCAGGTGCAGGCCCTTTTAAGAACATGGACTCCTCCCCTCCATCAGGGTTCTGGCAGTCAGTGACAGCTGGGTTAGAACTAGGGTGAAGCAAGTGAGGCACAAATTTAAGGGGGCACCCAAAAACTCAATAATCAAGACAAGTATCTTAATGGGATGGTTTTAAAAATCAAACTGGCAAACTATGGCCCATAGGCTGAGTGTCTGATTTGTAAATAAAGTTTTATTGGAACCAGGGTCAGGAACATGGTGAACTCTTGCAGTTAAATCAGAGATTATGCCCTGCATGTCTTCACTAATGTAGGTGTTCCCAACCCCTAAGGTAGCATGTGGTGTGGGCATGGTCGGTTCAGCTCATCCAACAATAAGAACACAGCTTGTTTGGAGCACTCCCCCAGCTTTAAAGAAACTCTACTCTGGAACTACCTCTCTTGACCCCATGGACTGGCCACAAAAGCACTTTTCACTGTTCCAGGAATGTGGGCCTGTGTCAAGTGTTGGCCGGATCTCAGTGTCCTATCACATTTCCCTGGCTCTGCCATTCGCTGAGTGGCCTGGGGCAGGACTTAATTTCTCTGTGTCTCATTTGCTTTTTCTGTAAAATGGGTTAATGCATGCAAAGAACATCTCTATAATAAAGTCAGCTGCTGCTGTTAAAAGCGTGGGTTTGAATCCCAGCTGTCACTTATTGTGACCCTAGGACACGATATTTCCTATTGCTGTTTCCTCCACCGTAAAATGGAGATTATAATCCTCATCTGGTTGGGTTTAGGTGGGGATTCACACAAAACTGCTAGTGCTTTTGGCTCAGCACTGCAAAGCACCTGCAGCTCCCCTGTGGACGTCAAGGGATCTGAAAGTGCAGAGGGTTCCTTAGCCCTTTGTGACACAGAACTAGGGAAGGAATCCACTGTTCACCTAGGAACGTTTGTTAACCCTTTATTTCCCACTGTGGGCCACGGGCTAAGTGTGCAGATGGGCGATTCTCCTCCTGGGGGCATTTGTGACGTTTCTCCAGTCTCCAATATCTGCCATTCTCCCTCTGGATACTAGAAAAGATCATTACTGCTTCCTGACAGCTGTGGCTACCCCAATTATCACTGGCACTGATACTGGAGGTAGAAAGAAATTATTTAGGCAGATATTGAGGGCAAAAGAGTCATCAGCTGAATTTCCCTTCTAACAAAAAAGCAGCCCCAGAAATCATTTCTTTTCTAACAAAGAGCAGCCTGAAAAATCCAGCTGCAAACATAGATAAGGAAGCTGGAAGCTTGCACAGGGGAATGCTGGTAGCTGTGCCAACAGAAAAGGGCTACTTGGGGGCCAGGCATGTCCAACACAGAGGCTCCATCTTCCCTTTTCTTTTAGCACGTGTACAGTAATAAAGAAGTGGGCAACATGGCACAGCTCAGGCAGAGAACTCGCCTGCATAATAAAAGATTGGGGTGGGGGTGCCCAGAGATTCATACCCTATGCCAATGGCACACCAGGGTCCAACCAGTTTTTCACACCCTATGTAGATCAGACAGTACCTCCTCACCAGCTCATCTATAAAACCCCCTGCAGATCTGCTGGATCACCGCAGATCCAGCAACCCATTTTTCCAGGACCCCTCTTGTAACAGAGAGCTATTCTCTTTCTTTCAACTATTAAATTTCTGCTCTTCAACTCACTCTTTGTGGGTCCATGTCCTTGATTTCCATGACCATGAGACAACGAACCTCGGGTGTTCCCCCAGACAAGGCTGCTTCTCCACTGCGTTCCCTGCCTCGGTGGCTGCCAGGTCCTGTGCCAAGCAGTTGGAGCATGCTCGCCACGGCTTCCACCCTGGCTACTGTTTTCACTGGCCCACCTGGTTTTGGTCGCCTTCTCACTTCCAGGTCTCTTGCTTCCACTCTTGCCGTCTATGGTTTTCTGCCAGCAACCAATGCAACTCTTTCAAAACAATCAGGTGTCACCCTGTTAAAAATCCTGAGTCCCATTAAGAACAAAACCCAACCTTGTAACAGGGCCCTGCAGGATCTGGCCCTGCCTCTCCCATCGCATGTTCTGCTCCTCCTCCTTGCTCACTGATGCCAACCACACTGGCCTTGCTGTCGGGGATGTTCCTTCCTCACCAACTTCACACGCCACAGCCTGCCTGGGATATACTCCTTTCATCTCCCGTGTTTCTGGTTTTCCTTCACATCTTCACTCATCACTGTCTGAAACTGCCTTATTTTACGTTCCCCAGGAAAGTAAACTTCATGTTCCCCTCTATTAGATCTCCAGTGCCTGGCACATAGTGAGTACTAGTGTATCACTCACGCTGCTAATAAAGACATACCCGAGACCGAGTAATTTATAAAGGAGAAGTTTAATTACTCACAGTTGAGCATGGCTGGGGATGCCTCGGGAAACTTACAATCATGGCGGATGGGGAAACAAACACATCATTCTTCACATGGCAGCAGGAAGTGCCAAACAAGAGGGAAAAGCCCCTTATAAAACCATCAGATCTCATGAGAACTCACTCACTATCACGAGAACTGCATGGAGGTAGCCGCCCCCAGGATTAAATTACCTCCCACTGGGTCTCTCCCATGTCACTTGGGGATTACGGGAACAATTCAAGATAAGATTTGGATGGGGACACAGTCAAACCATATCAACTAGGGCTTTGTTGATTTAATGCACATAAGCCAACCATACCCCACAAAGTAGGTACTAGCCTTATAGTACATGTGAGGAAACTGAGGAATGAAGCATCTCATTCATGTTGGGAATATTAATTGAAAAACTTGTCAGCTCCTGTGGTCCTTGGAGTTCCTTGAAAATAATGTTATATGCCAATACTTATTATAGTACTGTGAAGACGCACCATATCCCATATCTCTTTTGTCAGTGGAAAGAACACAGATTTGGAGCCAAGTAAAAGTACCTTTGGCTACCTGTGACGTCTAGGACAAGTTCCCACCTTTTGGGGCCAGTTTCTCCATCTATAAAATTGGGACAACGCTTAACTTATTAGTTATTTTAGATCCAATATAAAAATTCCCAGCCCAATGCCTGACATGCAGTAAACAGGCAATGATATTATTTTTCCTCTCTACTAGTCACAACTACCCAGGAAGGGAAGTTTTCACCATTCCTGGCCATCCACCCCATGCTGGACACTTGGGGAGTGCTGACTGTGATGAACGAAACAAACAGGGTACTGGTCCTACTATTACAGAATGTTTGCTTCATAAGAACAGGCACTGACTGTATCATCTCTCAACACAACGGAATGAAGCTAGGAATGAGTAACAAAAGAAAAACTGGAACATTCACAAATGTGTGGAAATTAACAGATTTCTAAACAATCAAGTGGTCAAAAAAGAAATCACAAGGGAAATGAGAAAATACTTTGAGATGAATGAAAACAAAAACACAAAATACCAAAACTGAGAGTGTGTGATGAAAAGTGTGCAGAGAGAAATTCACGGCTGTAAATGTCTATATTAAAAAACAAGAAAGTAACTATGTGAGGTGATGGGTGTTAATTAGCTCGGCTGTAGTCATCATTTCATAATGTATATCAAAACATCACACTACTTTATACTTTTTTATAAAAATAAATTTTCTTACAAAAGAACAGGCGCTATGTCTGTCTGGCTCACCATTGTACCCAATACCCAACAGGGTGCCAAGGAACATAAAAGGTACTCAAAATATGTTTGTTGATTGGAGTTTACAAGGAAGAAAGGTATTTTATTATACATCCGTTCCCTTCCCACCCACACATAGCTTCTTCTAAGAAAAGAAATTAAGGCTGGGCAAGGTTAAAAGCTAGCTCCTGGTACCTTTGCATCCACACTTAGCTTATCTGTACCTTAAACCAGATTTCATCAAACTTCAGTCTTCACAAGTCACTTCACCATTTTTGCTCTACCTACTTACTGCCTGTGACAGAAATCAACTCAGTTTGCTTACCTGTATAAACTTAAAAGGAACTTTATATCAATCACTTGTCTTAGAAGGTAACCACAAAAATACAAAACAATAAAAATAAAAACAATGTTAACATGAATTTCAGTTACCTGAAAGCTGTAAGTCTGCTTTTTTAAAAGAGAAATTGGAGTTAAGCAGATTTTTCATTTTTTGATCATGACCCTGAAAGGGAAATATATTTGACATCAAAACTCAGTACATATCCTTGTCTACATATACATGTGAAAGTTTCATAAAACAATACACTGATATTTTCTATGCTGCAATTCTATTTCATTTTAAAAAATGCTGGTTATATCCCATTAAACTGGTTTCAAAATAAACATATCATGTACACAACAAAAAAAACACTGGGTTAGAGGGCCAGTAAGCTCAGTGAGTATCACTGAGACTTCATCCTTGTCTCACAAGGACTAAAAAGAGAGTAACATTCTCATTATGTGGTTCAATGCCACACCCATATAACTGAGACATACATGTCATAATCTGGGAGAAGCCTGTCCTAGATTTAAATACTCAGTTCTGCCTAGAACATGACTCAGACACATAGTAAGCTCTTGAGTAGAGTGAAGTGCAGATGATAATGACACCACAGGCACGATCACACACCACTTAAAAATATCTTAACACCTTTACTTAGATCTCATCTCATACTTTTAGCATTTCTTCAAATTTACTTTGAAAAAAGAGTTTCACTATGTGTGGCTGTCATACACATTTTTCTACCCAACCATGGTCCTCTTTCTTCCTCTCAGGCGCACTTCATCTAATTTTTTTAGCACTGGCCTGGCCTTTTTGGAGGAGGTGGAGTAGCTCTTCAAAAAGGCTTCAAACACAGTTTCAGTGTTGGGGTGGGTACTGAGGAAGGCCTTCTCCAGGACATAGAGGTCTACTCCCTTATCCTCTGGAAGTGCTGAAATGAAACTCAGCCCAAAGTCTATGAGGACAATGTTCAGCTGTTCCAGGGGGGGTTTCAGGAGCATGTTGGAGGTGGTGAGATCACCATGAATGAGGTCTTCATCGTGCATTCGAGCCAAAACCTGCCCAATTGTCTTGGCTAAGTTGGAGAGACTTTGGGGAGTTTTTTCAGTCTCCATGGTAGACTGAATATAATCTCGAACAGTCACTGAGCCTTCAATTTCTTCCATATACAAGCAGTTGGAAGCATAGTCCACAAAAAAGACAACTGGGGCAGATATGCCTGAAATCAAGACATAAGTGGTTATTGGGTTGGATTTTTTTTTAATGGATAAACTTAATTTTCAAAGATTAAGCTAGTTTTTCCATCTATATCTACTTATTTCAGGACGATTTAGGAATACTACAGGAAATGGTACAACTGAATGGAATATTCCCCTGCTCCTGCCCCCTGCAGGACTACACCTGGGACCACCCCACAGCTAAACTGAGGAGGCCATAGCTTCCTCCTCCCTTCCAAACCACCCTTTCTCACTGAACTTCATTTGTCACACTCACTCTCTAAAAAACAAACAAAACAAAGGCCGGGTGTGGTGGCTCATGCCTGTAATCCCAGCACTTTGGGAGGCCGAGGCGGGCGGATCACTAGAGGTCAGAAGTTTGAGACCAGCCTGGCCAAAAATAAAAAATACAAAATACAAAATACTAAATACTAAAAATACAAAAATTAGCAGAGCGTGGTGGTATGCACCCGTAGTCCCAGCTACTCGGGAGGCTGAGGCAGGAGAATAGCTCGAACTCAGGGGGTAGAGGTTGCAGTAAGCCGAGATTGCGCCACTGCAGCACTCCAGCCTGGGTGACAAAGTGAGACACTGTCTCAAAATACAAAAACAAACAGCAAGGCACAGCCCAGTCAGAGCAGTTTCTACTGATGAGGACACAAACAGGAGGCCAAGCAGTGTGCCGGCTTCGAGGCTCATCTTCATAGTCAGAGAGGACAGGGTTCAAATCCCAGCTCCTTTTCTTATTAGTTGTCTAATCTAATCTTAAAATTACATTAACTTCTCGGCCAAGGCAGGTGGATCACGAGGTCAGGAGATCGAGACCATGCTGGCTAACATGGTGAAACCCCGTCTCTACCAAAAATACAAAATATTAGCCAGGCGTGGTGGCGGGCGCCTGTAGTCCCAGCTATTCTGGAGGCTGAGGCAGGAGAATGGCGTGAACCCGGGAGGCGGAGCTTGCAGTGAGCCGAGATTGCGCCACTGCACTACAGCCTGGGGGACAGAGCGAGACTCCATCTCAAAAAAAAAAAAAAAAAATTACATTAACTTCTCTAAGCCTCAGTTTCTGCTACAATAAACTCAAATGAATTTTTACTGAAAGTCAACCAGGCTCAGTATACTTTTCTAGAAACTGAGAGATGTATCAATGGGGATACAGCAATAAACAAGTCAGCTATAATACAATCTCTGCTTAACGAAACATATCATAAGAGGCTGAAAACAGAAATATGAACACACAAATAACTTCGTGAAATCTTCAGTCTCTGAAAGGGCAGCAATGTGTCTGCTTGTTGGCTACTGAATGTCCCCCCTGCTAGATCTCCCAGCACTTAACAGTGTCCTGGCACCCACAAGTACCTAAAAAATACTAATAAAAGAAAGGCAAGAAGCGTAAAAGTAAAAAGCCAGTACTTCTGAGTCAGAGGCATACGGAGCTGAGGGCCTGGACCGGCCACTTAGTAGCCGTGTAACCTTGGGCAAGTTACTTCTCTCTGAGTGTCACTTTCTCATCTGAGGACAAGGTTTATGGCGCTGGCGCACAATAAATAGGCAATTTAACGAAATCCAACACTTATTGAGCACTATGTGCCAGGCACACATTCGAACATAATACACTGCACACATACCTCCTCTAATGGTCACAACATACCTATGACATGGATATTGCTACTATGTCTCCCATTTTACAGGTGAAAAAACCGAAGGTGAGAGGCTAACTTGTTGAAAGGCTACATAAGCAGCAGCAGAGTTAGTATTTCAACCCAGAGAGCCTGGCTCCAGTGGGGCAAGTACTTGTAATTACATGTTTCTTAAAACTAATAAATGAAAAGATAATGATCGAAAATTGAAACGAGTCAAATGGGGAAATCAAGGCTCAGGGAAGTTAAAGATGTTCAACGTTGAGCAATAATGACAGCGTCCAGATTTGAACCTGGCAGAACGGCCCCAGGACAAACGCTTGACGCTGCAAGGCCACGTGGTTTCTTAAGACTTAACGAATGAAGAAAGGGATGAAAGAATAACATTTCCGAAAGGCTGTCCACGACAGAAGGCACAGAAGGAGAAGTTGAGGCAAATCGAGGCTCGGAGCGCAGGAGAGTCCCTCACCCGCCCAGGCCCCAGAACCTCGGGGCCGCCCACGCTAGGATCCGGGCCCACCTTACCCGCGCGGCGGCAGCGGAGGAGAGCCCGCGCTTCCTGCACCGTCCGCCGCCGGCCAAGCCGCGCCTCCAGCGCCGGGTGCCGGTAGCCCTTGGGGAAGCGGTGCTTGATCACCGCCGCGCGGCCCTGGAAGCGGCCGCGGAACACGCGCGCCTCGGCGCCCTGCTTCACCAGCTCCAGGCCGCTCAAGAAGCGGCTGCTTCGCTCCCGGGCCGCGGCCAGAGCCTCAGCCTCCGGCCCGGGCTCCTCGCCATCGTCCGGGGCAGCAGCTCTGGCCACCGCCATGACTGTGCTCGGCGTTACAGCTCCGACGGATCAGCTCTCTCTGAAAACTGTCGCGAGGCTTCGGCTCGCTTCGGAAATCCTGGTACTTCTTCGGTTACACGGACGCTTCCGCCCCGGACACTTCCGGCCTGTGAGTGATTACGCTTCCCAACCTTTCGGCTCTCAGAAGCCTTGGGTTCCCTGCCGGAAAAGCTCTTGTGGCCCCGCCTTCCACCTCTTCGGCTATCTCCGTACACGTTCGGCAACTCTCGGCAAGTGGCTCTTCCCGACTCCTCGGCTCTCCGGAAATCTTCGGTGACTCCCGCAACCGGCTTTGGGAGACCACCTCCCAGTTGGTCGTCTCTTTCCGGAAAACTTCAACTCCTCTCGAGAAAAACGTCGGACGCTGTTTGCTCACTTAAGGAGTCTCCGCCTGGACAGGTGCACCCTCTAGTAGTGTCTTTTTGGAACACCTCTTCCCCTGACTCCTAAATTCCCCCCAAAATGTACTCATACTAGTCAGTGTCGGAAGGGTCAGACAATGAACCGTGTTACCGACATCCTCTTAAGTGCTAGGATAACTACCACTTAGTGCATTCAGAAGAATAAGATTAAATGATGAAAATCCTTACAGAAAAGAAAATTTAGACTCAGAGAGGGCAGTAGGGGTGGTGGGATGGGGCGGGGAGTGGGGGCTGGGGAATCTAGGAAAGTTTTCCGGAGACAGAACCTAAACTGAATTGGGAGGAATTAAACTTTTTCAGTTTCTAACTATTTCATTACAAAGCTAATAACACAGGCTGCAGCAAATTCTTACAATACGGAACTTTGCGCACACACACACATATAAATAAACTGCCTATCCTCCTTGTGACACCGCTGGCCGTTAGTTTCTTTCCAGAACTTTATTCAGCGCGCACACTCACATCATTGTGGCCTTTTTTCCAACATAAATGACATCATCCTGTGGGTTCTTTTGCAACTTGCTTTTCATTTTCCTAAACAATTTATCTCGGACTATATTCCGTATGAGTACATACAGAACTACCACATCCTTCTACTTGGTCAGGCAGTTTCTTGTTGCTAAGCAGTTATTTCCAGTTTGTTGTTTTTCAGAAAAACACTTTACTTACTATTGCCAGTTTATTATAAAAGATAGTATAAAAGATAAAAATGAACAGCCAGATGAAGAGGTACATAAGGGAAATTTAAAATTGTACGTATTTATCATGAGCAACATGTTTTGAAATATGTATACGTTGTGGAGTGGCTAAATCCAGCTAGTTAATGTTACCTAACATACTCATCATTTTGGGGGTGAGGACACTTAAAATCTATTAGCACATTTTTCAAGAATACAACACATTGTTATTATCTATAGTCACCATGTTGTGCAATAGATTTCATGAATGTTTCCTCCTAACTGAAATTTTGTGTCCTTTGACTAACATCTCAAAATCCTCCCAATCTCCCTCCCCCTGCCCCAGCGCCTGGTAACCACCATTCTACTCTGCTTGCATGAGTTCAACTTTTCTTACCTTCCTCATAT